TTTGCCCTCAAAGGTGCAGTAGGTTAGATGTGTATAAGAGACAGGTCTGTGACAACCCTGGTCCTAAAACTGGCTTTTAATTAGTATTGTTATTAGTATTATTGATATTAAAATTATTCGGATTATTAATGTTTTTATCATTTTTATTAACATTATCATTTTATTCAATTATCATTTACTATTATTCAATTCTAGATATGCACTTCTTTCAGGAATTGGGCCAGATGGACACATAGCATTTAATGAGCCTGGATCAAGTCTGGTGTCTCGGACACGTGTTAAAACTCTAGCTCAAGACACTATTATTGCTAACTCCCGGTTCTTTGGTGGAGATATTTCAAAAGTACCTACCATGGCATTGACTGTTGGTGTTGGAACTGTTATGGATGCAAGAGAGGTTAGTGTACACAGTTTGGAAAAAGATCATGCCTGCTCTTTCCTGCAAAATGAGAGTTTGATTTAACCGTTATTCTCTTGACTCTTAGCATTTTTCCACCTTTTCTCTCGTCATTATAGTTTTACTTTTAGTTATATAAATAATCATGAAAAGTTGCAAGTACATAGTACTATTATTAGTGTAGCACTAACAAAATTATACCAAGGTAAAGGTATAAGAATAACCCAAAACTTGCAGTGTTATTGAACTTAATTTCATTTGGGCGTAGAGCCAAAGAAAATGAAGAAATATAAATATCAAAAATCAAATTGAAATACGTATACTGTACAAAGAAAATTAAATTCAAAAATTTTTAAGAATAGAAAGTGATCTTATGACATATACTGTAGCAATGTTTATAGTTTTTTGTTCATTATTTAAAATATTTAGTCTTGTATTTATATATAAGTAACAGGATTAAATATTTTAAATAACACAAGAACACAAGACAGAATGTGTAAATTAAACCTCCTGATTTTTCCAAAAACTCAAGCAAGAACCACCTCAAACCAGCACCAATGTTAAGGCTGTAGTTAGCAGTTCCTCTGCCTTACCACTCGGCAACTCAACTTGCCTAAAATAAATAATCTTGACAGTTTTTTTATACAGCACCATACATTTTTATAAAACTTAAAATTATCATTACGCTTAGTGAATACGAGGTAAAACAGTGTGGAGTGTAGACATCCCTTCCTACATGAGATCATTTTTGTATTGACACTATTCAAAATTGGTAAATTTATAGTGCCTGTCACTTATTTGGTATGAGAATGTTTTGTGAGTTTGTGCTTTTGTGTTGTTTTGTATACCTTATTTTATGTAGTCTCGGGACTTGGAGCCCTGTGGTAGCTTATCTCCATTACTATGTTTCAAGAAGGGCTTAAATAGGTAAGAACACTTTGGAGCAATACAATCACTTTGCAACACCCTGGCACCCATGAATCCACCCCTTTATCACCCTTTATCACAAAGAGAAAGAGCGTTAGCGGAGCCCATAGAATATAACCATATCTGCTCGACATTTGCCCTCAAAGGTGCAGTAGGTTTAACCATATTAAACTCAGTAGCACCTTGGCTCCTCAAACAGGAAGGGAAAGTATACCAATACCTGTGCTTCAACATCAACCTATTAATAATCATAATCAAATATTATTTTACAGGTGATGATAATAATCACAGGTGCTCACAAGTCTTTTGCATTATACAAAGCAATTGAGGAAGGTATCAGTCACATGTGGACAGTATCCGCATTCCAGCAACATCCACGTACAATATTTGTCTGCGATGAGGATGCCACACTAGAACTACGAGTAAAAACAGTCAAGTACTTTAAAGGTCTGATGTACGTGCATAACAAGCTTGTTGAGGATAGCGAAGATTATCAAGAAGTGAAGAGACAGAAGAAGAAATAAACTTCATATTAACACATACAGTGACTTGACTGTTCTATTGAGGTGCCAGTTTTATACTCCAAACATTATGTTCACAAATATTTTAAATATTTCCATAATACTGTATTATACATTCCAAAGTGTGCTAAACATATAACAAATAATACACTCAATTAAAACATTGAAGTTTATTTTTTTTTTTTAAAGTTTTTTAGCTTAACCTAAAAGGATCAGTGACAAAAGATTATGTTTAATTATTAGTGTCTGAAATGAGTTCGGTGCAGCACTTGCGCTTTGGGCTTCCAAACCAAATGTCCGCATCATGAGGCCGGACACTTGTTGGTACTTGGGTAGGATACTTTATCTATGTTGTTCCTTGCCATCTAGGGTGTGTGGAGGATGATACGCCGACTGCTAGCTTATATTAATAAAAATGATTTATTATTTTACTCCCCTTGCAAACATTCAATATTTTGACTATCTTCTATGTATGATGGATGTGACAATAATGTCAAACACAGCCATTAGATGATGATACACTATTAAGAATTTTTTTTTTTTGTAATTGGTCGTAAGAAATTTACAACTATTCTCAGTGTTAGACCCTGTGCAAAAGCTTGCCCGAATTTTCCAATTTCGAAATTGGTAATATTTTTAAACAAATATGTTATTGTGATTTGAGTTTGGTGCTTAATAATAAAAAAGTGTCATTTTTGTTCTTCGAAAAATGTGATGCTCTGGTGCTATGACCATCAAAACTGATTGAAAGTAGATAAATTTAGGACAATAAACGTTAACTCAAGAGTGTCATTGTGCTGAATTGCTTACAGTTGTGGGAGGTGACTACTGTAGCATCTGTAGAAAGATACAGTACTTGGTAATTTCATGTTCACATCATTCCACAGTGAGCTGGATTGAACCTGCCCCTCGGCCACTCTAATAGACCGCTTGCAGTGTGTTTCATTTGTGATGAATATAGGACAATTATTAGTGTACTATTAGTGTACAATCATTGTTTCCATGATGATTGCATAAATGTTTTAAACTATTTTTTTTTTAGTACAGTATACATTTACATGTTATAATTTCAGTAAATTATTCTATTTTTCGTATGAATAAAGGACAATTATTGATATACAATCAAGGTTTTCATTTTTTTGTTTCAGTAAATATATTTTACCTAACAATATGGGGAGCCAAGCATGAGCATGGGCCTGGCATGGGGAAAGGGAAAAAAGAGAAGAATAGATAAGAAAGAGGAAAGAGGGGAGCATGGTACACAAAAATAAGCAGATTTTCCATTAAAATTCCATGTACCAGTGTCTATGATCAAACACCGATTACTATCACCCCATCCCCACTCACTGGTTTGCAATCCGCATGGCCACTGATGATAATCAAAAATTTTATGCAACACATATAATGGTTTGTCCAGGGTATTTTTCTCCATCCCTCTATGTCTTTAATTGGATCAAACTTGTGTGGCACTATGGAAAATTCTATGGAATTCTGCAATATTACTTCCAATGCCCACACTAATTTTCTCCGTCTATTTTTGCTGTCTCTCTTCCACAACACATACTTACCAACCTTTGAAAATTTGAATGCATAACTGAAGAAAATGTCTAAGTGGTCTCGAGCAGCGCCAATCGAGAAGAAAAGCCCAGAGCACAGAAAAGGTACAAGAAGTTTTTAAATAAAAAATAGCTAGATTGCATCTTGACCCAACAGTCAATGGTCGTGTTTGAAACAGGAACATTTTATATATTATCCACAGTAGTTTTCAACGCTAGATGTTTTTTTTTTGTTTTGTTTTTTTAAATTTTAATATGCATAATACATAAAGACAGTAAATCAACTCAGTGATGTAACAGCTCTGAGCTCTCACTGGCTAAAGCCAGGGGCCCCGTAGCCCCCAGCAAATTCAAGTTAATTTTTTTACAAACAAATAAGCAAAGGCCCTTTTTTCAAGCCAAAGTCTGCTGAGTGATTGGGGCATTTTTATTATCATCACTATCACTAGTCTATGTTTTATTAAAATAAATGTCCAAGAAATACATGGATTTTAATTTGCTTGTTTGTTGGATATTTATTGTAATATGTTTGTTAGTGATATCTTAGAATTAAGTATGCTTTTATTGGGGTAAAATCATGATACATAAACTTAGAATTCGAATGTGTAAAAAATATATTCAAATACTGTACGTCATAAAAAACTAAAAATGCCGGAGCAACCACAGTGGCAGGCCTCCAAAGGGCCCGTGCCCAGGGGCCTTTGGCCTTTTCGTTACGCCACTGAATCAACTATCTGGTGGTTCCCTGCAACAAATTAAAATATCACAAATATCAAAATGATAAAATGTACATTATTTGTCAAAAATATATGGGGAAAAAAAATTGATTGTCTTTTGTTTAATATTTAATATAAAACATGAATTGCTTTTAAGAGCCAATAATAAGTACAGTACAGTACTGCTAAAAACTGATGTTATTGTTTCACAAGGTGTACAGTTTATTCAAATCTCTGCTACATAGCATCACAACCAATCATGGATAAAATAATACATAAAACGATAAAATTATTTCAATAAGAGCCAACAAAAAAATACTAGGTTAAATTGTACAGTAATAACAAACAATATATTCTCCTAGAATTTCTGTCTATCTCTAAAGACACAAATGTGCTGTTCAAGTATCCACATTAGATGTTTGATTTGGCCCACAGTAGTTTTCATAAACTAAGATACACACACAATCCTTTAAAAAACGTATTTTCCACTAACGATCTATGTGTATTCAAGAGTTTTCATCTATCATAATCATTATGAAAATAATCTGGGCACCCAATAACTACATTATCCATATCAAATATACAGTATTACAATTATTGTTCATGTATCCACATTAGAACATACAGTACATACATACACACACCTTGGCCATGCTTTTCTAAAAATTTCTACATTAATATATGTTTTAACTCTAAATGCTAGATTTCATGGCTGATAAATAAAATAAATATGATGGCTGATTCTCATCATGCCACACTAAACAAAATATACATTCATTCAGAGTATGTTTTAAAAGTTGCTGTTTGTGTTTGTTTGGAGGTGAGTACTGTAAACCAATAGTTTTTAACCTGGGGTATGCAGATGTCTTAGAGATTCGCAAAAAATAATTGGGCATGCCTGAAAAATGTTGGGGTCCACTAGATTTTTAAACCAATTTTTCATGATTACATTAACTTTCTTATCTTGCAATAGTGTGCTAATCATCTTATTGCTAATCATTAATGAAATACCATTTAACATAAGTGAAATCAGGAGGGGTGAAGGCCCTAAATTTTACAAAATTAAAAATAAATGGGGTATAAAAGAAAATTACATTACATTCAAATTTTGAGTCCGATAGTGCCGTTTACGGCCATCAGAAGTGCAATAGACATTTTGTACCTCAGTTTCCAAAATCTTGCGCTGTTTAATGTTGTACTTTTGTGGCGAATCAATCTTCTATCTATAATCTTATTGTTGAAATATCAACAAAGATTAATGCTTCGATATGGGTCTGTCAAGACGTTAACATGTCCAAAGGGATCCGCAAATGCAAAAAGTTGAGAACCACATAGAACTAAAGATAAGATAAGATACACTTTATTGCTCCAAGTCGGAAATTCAGTTCTCGCATTAAAATACAGTAAAACTCTACTCCTTACAATTTTTAACCACTACATATCTGCCCACATGTTTTGATGATCATGCGTTGCACCAAACTATCTAGAACTCTCCAAATATCACAGTTTTCACTAATAGATATTTTTCCATAAATTTTAGTATGATAAAATGGATATAAAGTTGAAATTAACAGTTACTGTATTATTTTCTTTCCTGAATCTGATAATCTTAGGTTAAAGAAAAGTAAGAATATTTTTAACGTTTGCAATACCAACAAATCTTAACAGTGAATATTGGTTAATGCACCAATGATGTAACTTTGGTTCACTGGAAGTTGTATCAAAACATATGAATCAAAATAAATGGGTTCACACATTTCATATTGAAAGAGGTGGCTGGCAAACCCAAATTCCATCAATCACAATCAATCAATGATGGAAAACATCCAGAGACACCAAACCAAGGTTGTCTCTTAAAAAATATTGTTGGTGATACAGGCAAAATGTTGGAACGTAAAGTATTTGATACTTCTCCAAAAATCTATTTAAATCTTAGTGATCAACTACTGCTCTTTTACAATTCTTTTATCTGTCATATTTTGTTCTACTCAACATAATTACAAAAATTCATCAACTACAAGTGCTTGATATCAGTGGCAGTTCCAAAATTTCATGTGAAAATCGTGCAATTGTGGGAGCAGATGAATGACATCCAGCGGTTTGGTCACAAAACGTTGTCCATGCTTTGACTACTCCTAAGTGTCCTGTTGTTACGAATGTGTCCCAACTGCTGGATGCTACTGGTCATCAGTTTACTTCTAGTTCAAAATTAGCTGCAAGTACCGTTTCTGGGTTTTTAAGTATCTCAACTATCTTCCTTCGAAATTTTTCCCGTATACGACTGAATTCCATGATGGTGGCTGGTTTTTCAGCAATCCACAAACTATCAAACTCATAAAATAGGTAGCCTGTTACAAAAACATGTTTATGAATGTTAATAAATAACATGTTACGAACACTATGTATTCAGTAGTACCTGTATTCAGTAACGAGCATTTGTAGCTTCGTACATCAATTTATGTAGAGACATATTGAATCTTAAGTAAAAAGTCGGGTGTGTTAAATCACTGAATAATACAATCTGTACACATATGTGGCAAAGACAAGCCAAACCAGTCATTTAGTTATTAATACAGGCTTAAACAGTAAAATGAGAGCTATAAAATGGTAAAAGAATAATTTAAATCCAACATTTCATTATGAAGTTACAGTACAGGAGTTTAAACATACAGCTGTTTAAAGAACAATAATTGAGCAATCAGCCTTCCAAGTTTACGATTTCAGGCATTTCTTAGGCAGAAATCATTGAAAATGAGGAAAATAACAACATAGCATGATGTATAGATATCTAAATGTTAGTTTAGTGCAATAAAATAGATTTCCAAAATTTTGACATTCCAGCATGTTTTGGTCATTATCTCCAAAACAGGATTTGCGACGAGTGACTGGTTTGGCTTGTCTCTGCCACTTATGTGATCAAGTTTCATTCACAAATTAATAATGTTATAAGATGATAATATCAATAGTTCATATAATTTGTTGCTGTATAATGTGTATATTATATAATTCCTGTTTTTCCTGGAGGAAAAATTAACATTTAACATTTTTAAGAACAAAAAATCTTTTTCTTCTTTTCTCTTCTCTTTTTTTTTCATTTATTCCTTCATTTCATATTCATTTATAGATACTTCAAATACAGTAGCAATCAAAAGCAAGTAGCAGCAGGTGTATTACTTACAGTAAACCTGGTGAAAGTGACTAATAAGTGGTGTGCCACTGCAGGTGTTGTAGAAATGTGTCTTGAGGTCACCGTCAAGCATCAGATGGTAAGCCAAACTGGTCAAGTTGATGCCAACAATTGCAAAAGAATACCTACATAGAGAAAACAAAAGTAGGTAGACTATATTAATATAGTGCATAAAACACACTTGTCCAGATGATGAACAGACGATGATGAGTACCAGCATAGAATAGAACACCTCATGTAAATGTTGGTGCTTTAAAGAGAACTAGCAAAATGATTTTTTGTTCTAAAGGGGATTTTTGATATGCCATTAATAATAGAATCAACTTTAAAATCGTTTTTTGGTAATTTTTTATGAAGTTATAGGCCATTTATATACGATTTTACCATAACATCTACTAATACTATTCGCCTTAAAAATAGTACTTTTTGGACCTGTCGCGTGGTGCAAACTCCAGACTCCACCATCGCGCTGACGGAAGAGGGGACTGCGACCTCTATGACGAAAGAGATTGGCCCTTGACCGCTCCATGGATCAATGAGTAGACAATAAACAATAATTATGGAGACTGTCGGTTAAAGCGCCTGGATGAAGAAGGACTAGCCTAGGCCTATAATTCTTGATGAAACCAATAGCAAAAGCATCAAAAGACAAATTAAATATAGGTTGAAATTGAGGAAATGAGCGAAGAAGAGCTAGCACACTCTTTGATCGACTAGGCCCTAGTAAGTACTTTTTAGGCCTCTTAGAGTCTAATATTGACTGCTAGATTCAGGGAACAGTGAAATCTTTTTTCCCTCGGTGATGTGGAAACCGTAGGCCACAGGTGGGCAAGGAGCGGGCCGCAAAAACCTTGTATGTGCAGCCCGCCAAACATCTTTGGCTAGTAAACACCTTGGTTTTGTACAGCCCAACACTGACAATCTCTAAAAAGTAGTATTTAAACTGAGAATAAAGTGGTGTAAAAGCAGTGCATGAAGGTTTTTGGAAGCACACTGGAAACATCAAAGTTTGGATCAAAAATTCACTGTGGCCCTCCGACCAATTTTTATGCCCACCCCTGCTGTGGCCTATATTCCCTCGAGGGCCTAAGATAGACTATGATTTCCACATCACCGAGGGCCAATAGATTTCACCATTCCCCTCATGAGCAGTCAATATTTGTACACTATAATAATTACTACCAACAGCAACACAATATACCCATCATATACATATATTTATTTGTAAACCAACGATTTCAGCCTGTTTTGGTGTTCTATTTTTATACTGTGAATAAATAAATAAATAAAAACCATTACTACTATGATCATCAACACACTACTAACCATCACATTCTGCTTCTCTAATACTACCACAATCACCCTCATCACCAACACACTACAACCACTAACAACACACTACAACCACTAACAATTACTCCATGCATTAACAGTCATATTCTGCTTCTCTACGTCTACTACCACAACCACCATCACCACCATCATCAACACACTACAACCACTAAGCATCACATTTTGCATCCCTTACCACCACTAGTGGATATAATTTATGGTGGGGGGGGGGGCCGCTAAGTATTTATAGTATATAGTGTGCAGCGTTATCTGAGGGCTGAAGGCCCGAGCCAGGGGTGGGTATGGGAAGGGGTGTCACATCCTTCCAAAACGAGCTTTTTTTTTAAATTGGGACTTCTAGATGGCCGGAAATGGCTGGGATGGGAAAACTAGGCCATTTTTTTTTTTTTGGTCCAACTGCTTGATGAATTTTGGCCAATGGGGAGGGGCTTAAGCCCCCATGCCCCCCCCCCACACACAGTGGCACCGATACTGACTACCACCACCATCATCATTACCATTAGTCACATTTTTCTACCATCACTTACACCATCATATTTAACCATCACCACCACAATTGCTATTTATCATCACTAGTTCCATTATCAACTCATTAAAGCAGCACTATCACGTTTCTACCATCACTACTAGTATCGCTAACAAATTACACCATTCACCATTGCAATTTTTGCTACCATCGTTGAAACAACAGCAACAAACTACAACCATTTAAGTCATGTTTGCTATCATCACTACTACCATTATCACATTATCAACCATCACCATCACATTATTACTTCATTACTTTAACATATCCAAATGTTTAGCCACCACCGAATATATGTGGCAAAGACAAGCCAAACCAATTACTCGTCGCAAATTATATCAGAGATAATTGCCAAAACATGCTGGAATGTCAAAATTACACTAAACTAACCTTTATATATCTATACATATATTTTCTTCATTTGCAATATTAAAACAATATTTTTTAATAATTTAGTTACGGTTTCTGCCTGAGAAATGCCTAAAATCAGAAACTTAGAAGTTTGACTTCTAAAATATTGTTCTTTAAACAGCTGTAGCTTCAAACGCTTGTAACTTTATAAGATGTCGGATTTAAATGATGCTTTTACCATTTTATACCTCTCATTTTACTCTTTAACCCTAATAACCAGACCAATTTTTTTTTCTGTGATAAGTGACTGGTTTGGCTTGTCTTTGCTACATATGCATACAGTACATAAAATATTCATACAACCAAAAAATAATTTTCGAATAGTTTCATCTGGTTTGAATATAATATTGTAAATTTAATTTGTTTTTACTAAACCACAATAATAACTTAGGTTGCAACGTTTCGTGTGCTGTAAGCTACACTTCATCAATAATTACAGATACAATAATGTATTATCATCTTTCACTAAAAGTATTCATCTATACAAATTGTACTATCATGTGATTTACCTAAAATATAAAAAACTGTATAATCATAAAACTTACCCTGTCTGCGGGTGATTGGAATGTGATAGAAGCTGCCTGGCAATGCCAGTATGCTGAGTGGCAAAGTATCTATACAAAGAACAAGTAAACATTGAGGGAGCAGTTGCCTTAGAGAAGGCGGTTAGCTTATGAGCGGGAGGAGGTTGGCTTATAAGGGAGAGATGGTTGGCTTACAAGGGAGGTGGTTAGCTTACAAGAGAGAGTTGGCTTATGAGGGCCTTGCTATAGGGTTAAACCTTTGTCCTACATCCCCTAATAAAAAGCAAATCCATAATAAAAAGCAAATCCATTTACTCAACAACTGAGCTTAAAAATTATGTATAGAACATTGTCCTACTTTATGATTGTTTACATTTAAATCAGCAAAACAAGTCAACAAAAGAGAACTTAAAACCATAATACTCATTTTGTTTTTTATTTTTTGTAAATTATGACAAATAATAAGCAATTATCAATTTTAATTGTTACCATTATAGTATATTTATCTAATTTATTTTTGTCTGTATGATTCACTTTCCCAAAATTGCTCTGGCATACTAGTTTTTGAAAACAGGGAAAATGGGTGTGGTCATATTTTCTGAAAATATTTTAGTACAGTACAGAAATTTACAGGGGAAGCACGCATCTGGGATGTCGTTGAAAACTAGGGAAGCTTTACAAGATGCAAAATGGGCTTGTGGATATCCCACTTCACCAGTATGTCCATCCACACACTCATGTATCCAGGGGACACACAATCAGAAATTCACAAATCAAGAGTATTCAAGGACTCATTCTTAATCCAGAAAGGATAGTAAGCAGTGTCAGTATTGAAAGTTTTATGTCTAATCTTGAAGAACAACAGCTTAAGAGCTTTAAGTAGGGATTCAGCTCTTCCACACGCAGCGTGCAAGTTAGCGCGATGTATCGAAAGATATTTTGCTGACTAAACTGATGAAGATGAAGATGAGCATTATTTAAAATAATGAATAAATAATTTATTTATTGATATTATTATTAGTTTTAATTTATTGTTCCATACTTACAAAATGTTCTTCAGTCCAAGCATCCCTAAAAATAAAGATAATAAACATTAGCACATTGTGAAGAGAAACTCAATGTTAAAATAACTTTATCAGCACAATGTGTGTCTTCATTTTCAAAACAGTCGAATGAGTTTAAAATGTCTTGAATTTAGTTGGCTGTGAATGATGTTTTTTGATGTATAACCTTATTGTTTAGTGGGTGAACCCTAAAGGGAAAAGATTCAAATATCAATCTTGCTAAATCATTAGCCAAGGGAGTTAAATATCTTTAAGCATTACTGAATTATCCTTACAAGAACTGGAAGTTGAATAAAGTGTTGCTACTCAGCAAAGTAGCATAATTTAGTTTAGAATTCCATTATTTAATATCCTTTAACAAGTGGATAGCTGTATGAATACTGCAATGTTAGACTATAATACTTGATCTTTTGAAAGATCACATTTAGCTAAGAAAGGAGGGAATAGAACAGGTAAAGAAGCTGAAATACAACATTTAAAATCAGAATTTACATTCATTATTTCTATCTACGAGTAAGAACAGAAGCATTACTTACTTAAAAACTCAAAATTAAATTACGATCACTCTTTCAATTTCAATCTAAAATAACGCACATCCATTCTGAAGAACACAATCTAATCATTTCAATTTTTACAAATATTAAGAACTACCAAATATCTGTCTCGCATGTCACTATTCATTTTCAAGTTAAAGTCACATGATGCATTCGGTCTTAAGTGCAAAGCTTTTGAAAAAGTGATTTATCATACATAATAATGATAAAGTAAATTACAATGTAATTTACTGAACAACCCATAGCACTGCTTAGGTCCACAATGCCCAAGCAACTGGAAAATGTCAAAGTTGGGTTTCTCCGATAATTTCTATGATAAATTATCTTAAAGTTCTCTCCAAATATTTTAACCCATCATGTAACATTATGGACAACAGTACAATAGTGCAACATCAAAACATCCGTTTTGTTGACCAGCAGGGGTGACCTAGACCAGGGCCTATACCAACAACAAAATCCTTTTTTTACTATTCATTCTTGGAAATGTACTCTCACAATGATGTTTCATTGTACTTCTATATACGGAT